ATTGTTTCTTGGCATATCCTCTATCTAGGCCTCTGGTGTTAAATGACACTGAGTGGGTTCTAGCTGTACAGGGTGAAGTTTGCAGCCCAGTGTCACACCAGGACATTTCTGAGAGTGGTATTTCCATCTTTCTAACCCTTATCCTTTGCAAAGTCGATTTGAACTGCACGGTGGGTGGTTCAAATTTACCAGCCCCTCCTTGGAAACCCTACACAGGATCACTGTAGGTGGAAACCGACTCGAAGGTGCTTAACAACAAAAGCAACCCTTTCTTGAAGAGTTTTGCACTCTTTGATTTATGTAACATTATAACAGCAGTTTTGGCATCCTTGAGGGATCCAACTTATGTTCCTTTAAATGTTCTTTGAATCTAAATGACAAAAAGAAACCTGAAGGGGCAAGAGTAAGGCTCTAGGTTGGATGGATTGATGTTTCCCAATGAAATTCTCAGCCTTTGCTACACTCAAAGACTGAGTTTTGTGATGGAAAAAAATTCATCTATGCCACTTTCCTGGCCCTTTTCTCACTAATGCATTTTTCAATTTTTTGAAAACATCTTCCTAATAAGTCTCCATGATGGTTATATGTCCCTGAGAATATCTATCAAGATTACCCTTTGAAGTTCCAAGAAAACGATTACCATAACCTTCTAAACTGCCTTGAAATTAATCAACCCACCAGATCCCCTAGATGCAGTTTTGACACTAAAACAGGTGTGTTTCTGAGAGAATTTGTTTACAGCTGGATTGCAGAGTCATATTTAAATGTGTTTTATTTGGACAAACCCATCCAGTATGAACTGGAAGTTTAGTAGCAGCACTTTTTAACTTAACCTCATATGTTGTTGTTGTTGTTAAGTGCCGGCGAGTCGGTTCTGATTCATAGTGACGCTGTATAGTGTTCCCAAGGAGTGGCTGGTGAGCTTGAACTGCTGACTGTGCAGTTGAAACCAACCTTGCATTCCAGCTTATGTGAGGTATTTGTTTTCTGTTTCAGCCTCTTCCTAATAATTTGGTGAAAGTAGAATTTCTATTCCCCACCCTTATGAATTGGGCTGCGAGTTGCAAGGTCAGCAGTTCGGAACTACCCACTGTTTCTCGGGAGAAAGATGAGGCTTTCTGCTCCTGTAAAGATTTATAGCCTTGGAAACCCTGTACACGGTCGCTATGAGTCAGAACTAACTCCACAGCACATAACTACCACCACCACCATTACCCTTGCAGAGGGTGATCATTTCTGGATTTCTTTTTGTTTTGTTTTGTTTTTGCAGGAAATTATTTTAATTATAACATCTGATCAACATTTGTCCTTGTTCTCTGGATCTGTGCCAAGCACCATTTCAGAATCACAGGTAAGCAGAGTAGAAGAACCTGGAACCCTCAATCTCTAAGACCTGCTGAGGTACTCTGATGCCTCAGAATTATCTTCAAACACAAGCACCTCATGAAACTGTAAACAAGTGGGAGGCACACAATGTTAAGCATAAGTAGAAAGGGGCTCTGACTTAATTTCTTAACAGGGCTTTTTTAGGAAAAAGTAAATTGAATGTTGAGTCAAATGCCTGTCTAAACAGGGAAACATAAGAAAATAATGGATAAATTAATTTGGAAAACCTACCAAAATATTTGCTTTCCATTAGATTTTATTTCGGTTCCACTTTATTTCAACCTCTTTCCACTAATTTGGCTAAAGTAGGATTTTTTTTTTTTCCCTCCCAGAGGGCCATAATTTTGGGATTTTTATTTTACAGGAACTTATTTTACCTAGAACAATTTATACCTCATTACCATTTTCCTTTGTCCCTGGCCTTTGTGCATGTGTGTTTGTGTGTGTGGTGTTTGTGCACACAGATATGCAGATGTGCCACTTTCATTAATCCCACGTTTAGCTGATAATAACCCATGGAAATCTCTGCAACCATTCTATTCAGTTTTAGATATACATGAAAGCATACAGTTTTGATGTTTTCTAAAATATGGACTCCTGGTGTGGCACTATGGGATAAAGCAGCAAACTGCAAGGTCATTTTTGAACCACAAGGTCGGTGGTTCAATTTCACCAGTTGCTCCTTAGAAACACTTTGCAGGATCACTGTGAGTCAGAAATAACTGTAAGGCAATTAACAACAACAACAATTTCACTGTATAGCCTGGCTCTCTATTATTTGTACTGTTGTGTTTTTCTCCTCTTCGGTCTTTTTCTCACTCCTGTCTCTTTCTGTTTTTTTGTGCTTTTTTTTTTTTTATGATTCTGCTTCACAAACACTTTCTGTTAAAGATTTTTCCTTCGCTCTACACCTGCATTCCACAGCACTTATTTAAAATGTGTTACTTAATTAAATAACATTGTTATTTTACATTGCTGTCTGTTCGTCAAGAGTAGACATTTCCAAATTAATGAAAATTTTACTTCTATAATACACTTTTGAATATGTGCTATAAATACATGTTTATTTATATATTATATATACTATTGTAGTAATAAGGAGCTCTGGTAGCGTAGTGGTTATGAATCAGGCTGGGAACCTCAAGGTCAGCAGTTCGAAACTACCAGCTGTTCTGAGGGAGAAAGATGAGGCTTTCTGCTCCCGTAAAGATTTACAGCCTCGGAAACCCTGTACAGGGTCCGCTAGGAGTCGGAACCTAATCCACGGCATATAACAACAACATTGTAGTAATATATTATTTATATTGTAACTATTAAATATAATTTTTAGGATAATGGACTAATGTTACATATAAAATGATATGCAAATATATAAATAGTACTAGGAATCCTGGTGTAGCTCTGTGGGTTAATGCGCTGGACTGCTAGGTGGGTTTGAACTGCTAGGTCAGTGGTTCAAGGTCATCATTCACTACTCAGAAACCCTATAAGGGTTGCTATGGGTCAGAACCAACTAGACCACACTTAACAGAAAATAACAACATATATGTGTAGCCTTGTTGGTACAGTGGGTGAGGCTCAACTGCTAAAAGAAAAAAGAAAAATGTGGCAGTTTACTTTCATAAAGATTTACAACCTTGGAAACCATATGGGGTAGTTATACTTTGTCAAAAAGTTTGCTGAGTCAAAATCAACTTGACAGTAGTTAAGTCTTTAGTGATATGTTATTATTTATTCTCACATCTCTACGGATTCTCATGTGGAACTTCTAGAATGAGCACAGCCCACTAAACAAAGTGATCCCTAATTCAGGATATTCTTCACAATGATTACTCTTCATATACGCTGTGTTTAGTTTTTTATTTTATAGCCAGCAAAGACATGATTTCAGACAAGCTTTATATTTTTGCTTTTTAAACACACAACAAAAAGAACATTCGTTGGTTTAAAACGTGTGATGAATACTTTCTTAATCAGTTTAAACTAATAATCAATATAAACTTGCATTCTTGTACATTTTTCCAAAAACAAACACTAATCTCAGGTCAACGCTCTGATTCTCATTCAACTGTGTGCTTCTTCAAAACTGTTCTCCACTTTTGGAGTCTAGGTTACTAATCTTTGGAATTCCTAGCTTCTTGAGTCACATGAGAATTTTTTTTGTTTGAAACACAACATAACTCCAAGCATCAAGATGTTTGACTTTTGGTGTGACCCTATAGTAAAAGCACTGGCTTGCTGACTGCAAGGTCAGTGGCTAAAACACACCAGTAGCTTCTTGTAAACCTTATACAGGGTCACTAAATAAATCAATTCTAAATTCAAGTAACATAATAAAAATGGCCATAATTTTCTTGTCTTTGAAATGAAGGGATTAAATTATAGGACCATTTTAGCTACTTCTTGCACTTTTACTCTGTGATTTTTTAAATGTATACTGTCACATTTTGTATTGTAGCATATAATTGATTCACCCTTGGGTGCCATACTAGGGTCAGAGAAAGAAGTGACCAGGGATTATAAGTATTTATTGGTGGTGGTGTTGTGCTGTGAAGTTGGTTCCAACTCATAGTGACCCTTGGTTCCAATTCATAGTGATCCTTTATAGGGTTTCTTAGGCTATAAATCTTTACAGGAGCAGAAACTCTCATCTTTCTCCCATGGACCAGTTAGTAGATTAGAACTACTGACCTTGTGATTAGCAGCCAATCGTGTAATCCATTACATTGAGTTAGTGTTCATTAAACTGCATGGATGGTGTGTGGGGTAATCACAAAAGTGGTACTCAGACAGGGATACAACTGTGGGTATATCTCTAAGTTAGGTGAAAAGTAGAGTTATTGTTTGAGATCCTGGCAATCAGTTAGGGGTCAGAATACACAAGATCACTAGGACTTGAGGGAGGGCAATAAGACCTTGTTCTTATAACAAGAAAACACAGAGAGCAAGTTGAGAGGTACCACACAGGAACTGGTAATTCCAAAGCAGCTAAAAGAAAGAAATTATCTAGCAAAATTTTCATGTTGTGATATTGAGTAGGAAATAGGTCATTGCCCCAAAAGAGTGAAGCCTCAAGCATAATGTTTGTGTTGTTTAGCAGATACCGATTCACAGGGACCCTGTATAGGGTTTCCAATGAGTCGCTTCCAACTCATAGCCAGCTGTATAGGGTTTATGAGAAGTGACTGATGGGTTGCAAACACCAACCCTGTGGTTAACAAACCAGTGCTTATTCTACAGCACCACAACAGGACTACTTTACCCCCCAAAAGTCAAGTATATTGATACTTGGAGATATGTTGTGTTTCAATCAGAAAAAATTCTCATGTGACTCAAGAAGGTAGGAATTCCAAGGTTTAGTAACCTAGACTCCAAAAGTGGAGAACAGCTCTGTAGAAGTACATGGTTAATTGGAAATAAGAGTATTGAGCTGAAATTAGTGTTTATTTTGTTTTAATCTAAGGGAATAAAAGAGGTAGGAGAAAGTTAATATATTGTTGTTTTTAGCTGATGTCATGGGTGTTAGATGTTTTTAGATGGAGAAGGACTATGAGGTAGATGGATGAGATGGAAAAAAAAAAATTTGTTTCCTATTGAACATGCAGGCCAAGAAGATGGAGATAAGAAACAGCACAGTGATGACAGAATTCATCCTTCTTGGTCTTACCCAGTCTCAAGATATTCAACTCCTGGTCTTTGTGTTAGTTTTAGTTTTCTACCTCATCATCCTCCCTGGGAATTTCCTCATCGTCCTCACTATCGTATCAGATCCTGGTCTCTCAGCCCCCCTCTACTTTTTCCTTGGCAACTTGGCCTTTCTGGATGCATCCTACTCCTTCATTGTAGCTCCCAGAATGCTGATGGACTTCTTCTCTAAGAAGAAGATTATCTCCTACAGAGGATGCCTCACTCAGCTCTTCTTTTTGCACTTCCTTGGAATAGGGGAGATGTTCCTTCTCGTTTTTATGGCCTTTGACCGTTATATCGCTATATGTCGACCTCTACATTATTCAACTATCATGAAACCTAGAGTTTGTTATGGATTATTGATGCTTCTCTTTCTTGGGAGCTTTGCTCATGCCTTTGTACAAGTGGCACTTATCCTCCACTTGCCCTTCTGTGGCTCAAACCAGCTGGATAACTTCTTCTGTGATGCCCCACAGATAATCAAGTTGGCCTGCACAGATACCTTTGTAGTAGAGGTTCTGGTTGTCTCCAACAATGGCTTGCTCATCCTGCTGTGTTTCCTGGGGCTTCTGGCCTCCTATGCTGTCATCCTCTTTCATTTAAAAGGACACTCTTCTGAAGGGAAGAACAAAGCTGTGTCAACATGTACCACTCACATTATCATTGTATTTCTCATGTTTGGACCTGCCATTTTCATCTATACTCGCCCCTTCAGAACCTTTTCAGCTGACAAAGTGGTTGCACTCTTCCACACAGTGATCTTTCCTTTGCTGAACCCTGTAATTTATACCCTTCGCAACCAGGAAGTGAAAGCTTCCATGAGAAGATTATTTAATCGGCATATATCCAGATGAAAGGGATTTTCTTTTTCTTTCCTTCTTTCTTTTTTAGGTAATCCATATTGATAATTCTTCTGAAATGAATTATTTTATTTCAAAAAGTGCATTTTTGAGCACCTCTCATTTGTTAGAACAATTCTAGGCACTAGAGAGAGAGTAACTCATGAGACAGTTAAAGTCACTGCTCTTCTGGAGGTACAATCTGGAAAATGACAGACAATGAGATAGTAAGTAAAAAGCATAGTTTCAGAAAGCAATATTATTCTGAGGAAACAAACAAAAAGCCCAAAATGATAGATTGTCACCATAGGTTGGGAATATCCAATTTACTTTTAGAAGACCCAAGTAGGGTCTTCTTTAGAAGTGACAATCTGGCTGATCCATAGCTGAACATTGTAGTGGCAGAGCATTCTAAGCAGAGGAAAGATAATTCAAAAGCTGAAGATTATGCTGGACTTGGTATATTTGAGGAACACAATGAAGTCTAGTTTGGCTGAAATACAGTAATTGAATGTGAAATTATCAAAGTTGGGGATTGTGGAAATGTTCAAAACATAGATGGTTTATTAAGTGAATATCAAGAAGTTGAATTTATTATCATTGCAACAAGAAGCCATTGTAAAGCTTTAGGCATTTCCTGTACAGCACTTTCATAAATGAGTTGTAATCATATTTTGAAGATTCTGTGCAGGGATCAATGAACTATTAAATATCATTAAAAGGCAAATATTATTTTTGTTAAGTGTATTTAAACTGCTCAGTTTTTTACATCATTAGGAAGAAAGAGGGAAAAGGCTGCTGGTTATTTTCGTGGGACATAGTCATGAACTTTTTTTCACCCCAGAACTTCATGGTTACTACTAGCAGATTCTTAAGAATTCTAGCTGCAATTGCCATCATAGGATAAGCACTGGACTGCAAGATTGATTGGAACCAAGAGGTTGGCAGGTCAAACTCACTAGCTGCTTCTTGGAAACCCTATACTGGGTTGCTATGAGTGGAAACTGACTTGACAACACTTACAACAATAACAATGACATAATGATAGTTCTTTGATGAATCATTCTGTTCTGTGGCAGATAGCAGAAACCATACTAATTAGTTTTTGTTGTTGTTGTTGCGGCTATATGCCATGGAGTCAGTTCTGACTCATAGCAACCCTGCACAGGGTTTCCAAGGCTGTAAATCTTTATGGGAGCAGAAAGCCTCATCTTTCTCCCATGGAACAACTGGTAGTTTCAAACTGCTGACCTTGAGATTAGCAGCCCGATTCATAACCACTATGCTTAGGGTGATCATAATTTAATACAGGAAAGCAAGTACTTACAAAATGCTTGAATAGCCTTGAGGAGAAAACTACAGGCTTGTCATTCAGAGATACCTCCCAGAACTATACAGAAGATTTAGAAGAAAAATACAACAGATCTAGTCAAGGGAGTTGTCTCTACTGCAGTCTTTGCCATCTGTTGTCAGGAAGGTACGGCCACTTTAAGTACAATGTCTCTCTACATTTCTAACTAAAGGAAGCCTCTCATATTACTGCTTCTCCTCCCAAATTAGATTATATCCAAATTCCAGTCTTACATGAATACATAGAATAGACAGCACCAAAAACATAGCTAGAACCAAAATGCAAGGGGGGGGGGGGCTAGGATTAATTTTTACATTTGATTAAAAATAATCTAAGGTTAAAATATTTATGAATATAAATCATGTTAAAATATTCAGATTCTAGGAAAAGTTGTCTAAATCCTCAACTACCACTTTCTCGATACTTATTCTCTGCTTATAACCTTGCTTCCTATTTCACTGAGGAAAAAAAAAAAAAAAAAAATTAGAAGAGAATTTCTCCAGCTCTCATCACTACCTTGACCCTGCATCTATGACCTTGCACATGGAATGACCCTGTATTGATTCCAACCTCCCCCCCCCCTGCCCAACACACACACAAAAAGTCAACTCTCACATGCATCCTAGATTTATTTCATCCACTCTCTGCTGCCCAAGGCAATTACTCTGGTAATTCTTTTCTCTCTCTCTCTCTCTCTTTTTTTATGTCATTAAATTCTTCCTCCCTGTTGCATATTTCTCTTTAGCACATAACCACATTCCTCAATGCTACATAAAACCTATTTTCCCACTTCCTCCATTCATATACCACCTCATTTCTCTTCTTCTCTTTACAGCAAAGCTCCTCAAAAGAGTTTATATTTTCTGTCTACTATTTTATTCCTCTTAAACTCACCCAGTCACTGTAATAAAACTGCTTTTGTCTTGATTACCAATGGTCTCTGGTCTCATTGGTTTTTATTCAAGTCTCAATATTTTCCATTTGTGAGCAGCATTTACCAGTGTGGATCACTCCCTCTACTTTGATCCAATGCCTTCCCAGGAGTCTTCACTTTCCTAGTTTCCCTCTTACCTAATCAGCTTTTCCTATATTCTTCTTTGAGGGTTACTTCTCAACTCCCAATATTCTTGACTTTAAATGATATCTATGTATTGATATATATTAGACTCCTGATGACTGGTCTACTAACCACATGGTTGGCAATTCAAACCCACCAACTTCTCCTTGGAAACATTATACAGGGTCTCAATGAGTCTGAACCAACTCAACGACACTTAACAACAACATATATTGATATTCTCTACACGCATATCTTTCTCATAAACTCTAGGAACTGGTACCTGCAACTTGTGCCTCAGCTGCACTTGCATGTCTTAATCTCACCTCACAAATAATTTATTCTAGACAGCTGATCTTCACCATACACTTCTTCCTACCTTCACTATATTATCTTTGCTAATTGTAATTCCATCCTTCTTGCCTTTGATCCAAATCCATGGAATCATAATATTCTGGGCATATTTTCTTTCATATTTTATGTCCTATCTGTTAAATAAAAACTTGGAATAACTCTGTCATCATTGTTTGGTGTCATTGAGTTAGTTCTGACTCATAGAGACACTGAATACAACAGAAAGAAACAGTGCCTGGTGCTGCAAAATCCTCACAGCTATTGTTATGTCTGAGCCCATTGTTTCAGACAGGATGTAGTCCACCTCATTGTGTTTTATTCCCTTTTTTGTTGACCCTCTACTTTATTAAACATGATATCTGTCTCACAGGACTACTGATGACATGTCTCAAAGTATATCAGGTTAAATCTCACCATCCTTACTTCTAAGGAGCTTTCTAGCTGTTCTTCTTCCCAAGGCAAATTTATTTGTGTTAGCAGTCCAGGGTTAATATTCTTCATCAACACCACATTTCAAAAGCATCAATTCTTTTTTAGTCTTTTTTATTTATTGTTCAGCCTTCTCATGTATCTGAGAAAATTGAAAATATCATGGCTTGGGTCTGACACACCTTAGTTCTCAAAGTGATAGCTTTGTACTTTAACACTTTAGAGAGGTCTTTGGAAGCAGATTTTCTGAATAAAGTGATATATAAATCATCAAAAGAAGATGGAAGGAATACACAGTGTCATTTCACCAAAAAGAAAGGTCGATATTCAACCATTTCAAGAGGTAGCCTATGATCCTGAAGGAAGAAGTCCAAGTTGCACTGAAGGCACTGGCAAAAACAAGGCTTCAGGGATTGATGGAATACAAATTGCAATCTTTCAACAAACTGAGGCTACACTTTGGAGCTACTCACTCATCTATGCCAACCAATTTGGAAGACAACTACTTGGCCAACTGATTGAAAGAGGTCCATATTTGTGTCCAAAGAGAGATGACCCAACAGAATGCAGTTATCATTGAACAGTATCATTAATATCACATGTAAGTAAAATTTTGCTAAAGATGATTCAAAAACAGTGTCAGTAGTACATTGATGGGGAAATGCCAGAAACGCAAGATAGATTCAGAGAGGATGTGGAATGAGGGATATCATTGCTGATGTCACGTGGATCTTGGTTGAAAGCAGACAATACCAGAAGGATGTTTATTTGTGCTTTATTGACTTTGAAAGGCTTTCAACTGTGTAGATCATGACAAGCTATGGATAACACTGTGAATAATGAGTTTTCCTGAATACTTAATTGTGCCCATGAGAAACCTGTACATTCAAACAGAACAAGGTGATACTGAATAGTTTAAAATCAGGAAAGATATGCACCAGAACTGATTTTTTTTTTCACCATTCTTATTCATTCTGTATGTTGAGCAAATAATCCAAGAAGTTGGATTATATGAAGACGAATGTGGCATCAGGACTAGAGGAAGAGTCACTAATAACCTGCAATATGCAGATGATACAACCTTGCTTGCTGAAAGCAAAGAGGATTTAAAATACTTACTGTTGAAGATCAAATACTACAGCCATCAATATGGATTGCACCTCAATGTAAATAAAACAAAAATTCTCATAACTGGACCAATAAATGCCAACATGACAAATGGCATTCTAGTTCTGACTCAGAGCAACCCTTTATAGGGTTTCTGAGGAGCAGCTAGTATTTTTGAATTATCAACCTTGTGGTTTGAAGTCCAATGCTGATTCTACAGTGTCACACCAGGAGTCTATGTATCTATTTATATATATACCCCTGCATACATATATCTGTCTATCTATCTATCTATCTATCTATCTATCTATCTATCTATCTATCTATATGAGATACATGAAGAAAATCAAAGAAGGTATAATTTTTTTAATGCTTATATGAGATCATCAAATAACAAAAGTTGAGGGTAACTTTCATATTTTCATTTTATGGACATGTATTTTTATCCTGATTAATTTTATGGAATTAAGAAATTAAAAACAAAATATTTTGTCATACTTAAAGGATATTAAATGGGTCTGCTGAAATCTTTGCATTACATTTTAATAGGTATGTCAAGTGTTTAATTGTAATCAGTTCAAAACTATTGAGTATTTTTAAGTTTGTGTAATAGAAACCTGTGTGATTTCAATTATTTTTTATTTCTGTGCCATATATGATAGCTATTTGTAAGTGGATCCCATAAGAAAAATTGCCACTGAGTTATTAGTTAGATTA